AGTGTGACAGAAACTCCCTGCCTGCATCACATATGATCAGCCCTGGAACCCCGAAGACTCTGGCCCAGCTCCTCCATAGAAGTTCCCAAAGGTGTCTGGGGTCTTTGCTGTCGGCTCTTTCCACCATTTGGTACCCGGTCCCCCAATCCACCATGTTAAGCGCTGGGAACGTGGAGCTTCCTCCAATGTCCGGGATAAAGATGAGATCAACTCCCAACACCTTTCCTGGCTGATAGGTCTTCGGGATAGTGGCCAACCGACTGGGCTTTGGTCGGGGGTTTGCTTCACAGGCTGGGCACTTAAAGTGCCTGTAGGCCCATCGGATGACTTCTCCTTTCACCCGAGCGGTTTTCATAAACCTTATGAAGTCTGGAAGACTTGGATGGCCGACTCCCTTGTGGAGTTTCATCACTAGAGCTTTCTCCTGTGGAGTTATCTCTCTTCCAGCTTCGGCCTCTCCTCGAGCTTCTGGACCCTCTGCTTCCGGGACCACTGCTCCTTCATCTTCATCTTCCTCCTCTTCTGCCAGCACCCACTTTTCACCTGCTTCCTCCTCAAAGCCCCTCACTATGGCTTGGCAAAACTTCTTTGGATAAGTTTGCGCCTTGCGCGCTTTTCCTTCCATCAGCGCCTCGTGCTGGTGTCCACCTGGGCACCTCATAGATAGTCTCCTGGCCAGGTGAATGCCGTTCACCAAAATGCCTGTGGGCTTCAGATTATATCCCTCCTTGCCCACTGCCATTCCATAGGCGCACATGTCGCACATGGTCCTGATGACGCCTGGCATCTGCACCAGCTTCTGGACACAAGGTTCACTCCACGACCGTGCCAGATCGGGGTGTTCGAAGATGAACCACTTGCCTCTTCGGTGCTGCCACTTGGCCACTTCCATGGCGATTTCCAGGTGCTCGAGCCCAGTCTGCAATAGCTGAACGGACTTCTGCATCCCCATCTTTGGGAAGTTCAGCTCCTGCAACATTGAGAATGCCACACATGGTGGGCATATTACAATCAGATCTGGGTCTTCTTCTTTAAGGCTCCTCCACATCTTCTTCCGGTCTTCTGTCCTTCTTAGGTCCCAGCCTGTCTCTAGGTCGTAGGAGGTTCCTTGTTTCCATCCTCTCCTGTGGCCCTCAATACTGACCCTTGGAGGTGAGTAGACTTCGCTAATCAGCTAATCACCCCTGAGGGTTTCATCCTCCTGTGCAGCTCCTCGAAACCTCCAAAGACCAACTTCCTCTGCTTGTGTGTGAATGCTTTGTTTTGTGTGTCTCCTCCATACCTTTCCTCCACCACTCCTCTCCGAGACAGATTGGTCCGGACCCGGACAGGCCGTTCTTCATGTAGGGGAACGATACCTTCCTTACGCTTCCATTCTTGACTGTCTTCCTTCCACACCTCATAGTCAAGATCTGCTTCGAGGTATCCTTTTGTTCCCCCATGCCGCTTATTTCTTTGTGCCCTCCTCAGCACCTTCCTCTGCCGCTGGACCCTTGCTTCGATCCAGCTCTCCTCTTCCTTCAGAGGTGTCGATCCCGACTGCTGGCTATGGAGATCACTGAGCCCTCCTTCCCTGCCGTGTCTTCCTTGCTCGTCTTCGGGCTCTTGGATCTGCGGGATGCTGCGGCTCTTCCATCCGCCGGGCTCTTGGCTCTCCTCGGCGGAGGGTTTTGTGAAGAGGCTGCTATGCTCCAGCTGGAGCATGGTGGGCTCCAGTTGGCAAGGGCTCCTTCCGAGTCCCATTGGAAGAAATCGCACCTCCTCTGCATGCACTTGTAAAAGGTTCGCCCCTTCCTCGCTCCTTCCTTCTTGACCTTCAGGGGCTCTGCCATGTCCCCGCATTTGCATTTCACCTCGGTGGGCGGTGTGTTGCTCCTCTTGCTCCTGTTGTCCTCCTCCTGGCTCCTTCCTAGCTGCTGCTGCAGCTCCTCTTGGTGCTTCATGAGACTCCTCAACATAGCTTCCTGCCTCTTGGAGCTCTCGCGATTGGCTTCGTTCTGCCTTTCCAGCTCCTGTCTCAGCGAGATGGCCTCTTCCCAAACTTCTGGGGGAAAATCTTCTTGCATCTGGAGGTGGGGCTCCTCCTCCGGACTCGCCGCTCTGGGCTTGGTCTTGGGTCGAAGCTTCAAGGGACCCCCTTTCTTCTCCTCCTTCAGTTCTTTCTTCCGGAAGGACGCCCTGGCGTGAATCTCCCACCTGGTGTGGCAATCTTGGCACGTCACATAGGAGGCTGAGGAGTTGCCCCCGCCCTTCAGACGAGCCGTAGGGTGAATGCAGCTGCCGGCTGCCACCATCGGGGGATTCTTTCCCCTCAAGGGCGTCAACACTTTGGCTCCTTGTATGAGCGTGGCATAGACATCCTGGAGAGTCTCCGGCTCTGACCCCTCCAGCAAGGCATGCGAGGGCGGCAATTGCGGAAACCATTCGCCGACCACTTCTTGGAGTCCGCTGTAGACCAGCAGAATGTAAATCTTGTCGAGAAGCATCCTCCAATGCTTCAGGGCTCTTCTTGGTTGGTGACCCGACTCCAGGTCCTCTTGGCTCTGGACGGGCACAGGACCTGCTCTGGATCCGAGATTCTTCATCCTTGCTAGAAGACTCGCCATCGCAAAAGTTGTGGCGGGCGAGTGAACCCTTCTCGGAAAACGAATTTGGGGAAAAACTTTGAGAGGTTCCCATGGCTTCAGTGGTCAACAGGTGGTGTTCTCCACAATGCGGAACATGGAAATCTTCAACCCGGTGTGTTTGGGGGCATCTGAAAACGATTGTTCTCGAAGGTGGTGACCGGGATAGTAACATGCCCACTTGGTAGCTCATGCATCTCGATGTTGACGTTATGCTCTGGGATCTTGAAAGTGTTGTCCAAAAAATTAAGAGAAGCATGCAATGCCCTCATCAATCTCACTGGCAATAACAAAGGAACTTCCCCTTCCACCACGGTGGCTTCGAGGACACCGTTGATGCCGCCAATTCCTAGTGGAAGCAAAATCACCCCCAGTACCTTTGCTTGACCTCCTACTCCCTTGGCTGCCGAAGTTTTGGGGATCCATTTACCCTGTAGCCCATGTGCTTGACGTAGATGTTGAAGAAGTCTATCTAAAGCATGTGAACCAACCAATCCTCCCTCCGCCGCGGTGTCTACTACCCCATCATGAAATTCCGTCACAATGCCATTGAAAGATACCCTCTCTCGCTCCTTGTATGCCGCACGGTCGGACGCGGCTGCAAGTCTCTCGGCCTTTCGGCCTTCTACAAACTGTTTCAACCAAAACTGTTCTTGGGGTCTGACTTGGCCTTCCCCGGACACTACCAAAAATCCAGACTTGGCGCTGGTGGATTGGTTGGATTGCTGACTTCCGGAAACTGACGACCAAGGACGTTCTTCATTCTTGCACTCCCGAGCCCAGTGTCCTATGGCTTTGCAACGATGGCACCTCGTCCGGAGCTTGATCTGCTCCAGATGCACCTTCTGCATCTTGCCCTTTCCATTGGACTTGCCAAAGACGCCGGACCCCTTGCCTTTGCCTCCACCGAAGAAGCCACGGCCGCTGCGCTGATCTTTCAAAGCTCTTCTCACGTCTTGGTATGCGGCGAGTGCTTCATGAACATCGGACTCTTCCATGACTTGATCTAAATCACCTTCTGCTACAAAAACAAAGTCGGGGTCATCGTCATCAGCACCCATGTCATACTCAATGGGATAGCTCTCTTCAGGGACCTGGGACACCTCTTCCAAATAGGAACCTCGACCTTTAGAATCCTTGATGACCTTGTCCAGCTTACGAAGTGACTTCACTATGGAAACCTTGTCGTATTTCCCATCACTCCAAACTAAAAGACGTTGATCTTGAGATTCTGTTAGGGACGACTGCCTGTATAGGATATATCCCTGTGCCCCTTCGGGGAGTTTCACCCCTTCCTTTTCCAGCCTCACGAAAGCCCTCTCCATGCGGGCGATGAACTCCGCAAAGCTTTCTTTGGAACCCCGGGGATTCCCGTACACTGCAGACTCAAAAGCCCTAGGTAAGGAAACTTCTAAATGTGGCATGTAAAAGTCCTTGAGCCGCTTCATCACATTCCTGACCCCGTCCTCACACGCCAGCTCGTCGAACTCCATCTCTTCGACGGCAATGCGAGCTGTGCCTGACAGGGAGTGAAGCAGCTTGATACCCCGCTTGGCTTTTGGAATGTCAGAGACGTATTCCCACAAGGCTACATTCTTCTCGAATGTGCGGAACGTCACTTCGGCATTCTCCCCATCATATGAAGGTGGAGGGTCCCGATCCCTAAGGGAATTTGCCCCATCTCCATACGACCCAGCAGAGGTTGTCGCCATCACACCATGGCCACCGCTCATCGGCTGGGGTGCCGCACCACCTGTTGGGCTTTGGTACCCACCGTCTCCAGACATGCCGAGGCGTCGCTCTGAGATTACCCCGGAGCTTTGCCAGCGTCGCCCTGAGATTGCCCCAGGGCTCCGCTACCACTGTGAATCCAGTGGCCGGCTCCCTGTCCTCAAACGGTTTTGGCACCTCGCCCTCGGATGGTCATTGTCCCTCGCCTATGCACTAGGGGGCCCCTGTGTTCGGGCCAGACCGATCGTGGCCAGTTTGGAATCAAGTGTACTCGGAATGGCAACAACATGTTCACAGGTATTGACCCATACCCATATTGGATAGATTTGGATGCTATACCCTCTGGTAATTCAACATAGCTATTGAAAATGACCATTTATAGTGAGTTTTCCCATTCAAAATGGGTGGATCTTTCCATAGCTATGTAAACGTTTACCAGAGGGTATTGGTTTAAATCACCAACCTGAATATGTGTATAATATCACCATATAATACATATCTCATATATTTAACTGTCTCAGTTATCCCTATGTCCCCTAGATATCATAGATATAACTTGATATGTATATAATATCCATCAATATCCCTGAAGCCCATCCCGTCCCCGCGTCCCCGTCCCTCCCCGCGTCTCTGTCACCAAGCCACGGCCGTCCGATGCCCACCCCGCGGGCGCCCAGGCACAAGGCCTTCGCCACGTCGCGGCCGCTGCGCACGCCGCTGTCGTAGTAGAGCTCCACAGCGGGACACTCGGCACCTGCGGTGAGGGCTGATCCATGGGAAAAGTGGGAAAATCCATGGGAAAAGTGGGAAAATCCCATTGAAAATTGGGAGACTTCACCCAGATACAAGTAGATAGAGAGGTAAAATGAATTAAAATTACCTATTTCCCCCCAAGAGTATAATTTGCCAAGAATGCGTTGGAGCAACCATGGTGAAGGTGGTGAAAATCCATTGGACATTTTGAGTTGAGATGAAGTTTGGACCTTGACAAACTTAAATTTCGCTAGCACCTGATATGCCTTTAAAAATGGATGGGGTATTGATAAAAAACTGCTTTAGAAAATGTATCAAAACGGTTCTGTTTTTTGAGTTTAAACCCAGCTGGTTCCTCAATGCCTCCAATATGAACTGCCAAAATGGGATGCCCGAGTGAGTCTTGATTGTAGCCACCAAAGTTGGGAAGCTCTACCCAACAAAGTTGCTTCTGGGCAAGGGGACACGCCTTGCCACACCTTCAACCCAAATACATATAATGTTAATTATTCATTGTATATTGGTTTTTGCCCTCTTTTTTCATACTTCAAAACATCCCTGATTTTGGGCAAAACAACCCTCCAGTATACCACCAGATGCAGGAAAAACCATAGGCCAGGAGTCCAGGAGAATGATCCACCGCCCCAGCCGTCCCCGTGACTCACGTTTCGTTCGCGAAAAGTCAGTGGCTCAGTCGCAAGGCATGCCCCACCCCCAAGCGAAGTAGGCACGAGCTTATGACTGCCCCAGCATCTGCTGGAAAGCAATTAGGATGCCGTTGAAAGGGTCTTGGCGTTCACATCGGAAAAAGATGTGTCCAAATCCTCAAAATCTCCAGATTTTCCCCCTGGACAGAAAAAAAACACTGAGACCCTCCTAAGATGGCACCCTGCGGCATTCCAGGCCCTGCCATCGCGCCACTGTGGTCATTCCAGGCAGAGGCCGCCGCGTTCAGTCGTGAGAATTGTGTGATTTACACCACCAGCTCAGAGGCAGAAGCCTTGACGATGGGATAAGATGGCTGGTCCTCAGCATCTCCGACCCAATTCTTGGGCTTGAGTTGGGTTGGGTTAAGTTCAGTATGAGTAATTGCTAGATTCATCTACCCAAAATCCCAAAATTCATCCTGATTCATCACGATTCATCTATACATACCCTCTGGTAATTTAACATAGCTATGGAAAATCCATTATAAATGGAGGTTTTATTGGGAAAATCATCTGAAAATGGTTCATTTTCCATAGCTATGTTAAATTACCAGAGGGTATCTATACTACTGTATACTGAAAAAACATCCCAAGTATCGAATGATCTCCGGCAGTTTCACTGTACCCAACGAAATCCCGTGGTTTCCCAGTTCAGCTGGTCGACAGGCAGAGGCCGAGGTCGAGATCATTGGCTGGCATTTTTCCCCAACCTCCCCATAGTTTGGTCAAACAGTCAAACATCTGATTCATCTGATTTCAGATTATTATTAAACATCATTAACCATATAATAACCATTAATACTAACCATATATTAATAGTATATTACCAGGTGAAATATCTTCAAACTCATAGTTGGTAAATCCCTGCGGTTGACATTTAAAGATTTTAAAAGCCATTCCCCATCTGCCGAGGCTCCTTGATGCCACATTCGCCATCCTTCGGCACACCACGCTTCATACGGATGTAGCCGTTCTCGCCCCACTCGGCGCCCCAGCTGTTCTTCACCTGGCAGTAGCCCCAAGGTCTTGACTCGTGGGGAAATGTCGTAGATTAGTAGATGATGGAGTTAGTATATCACTGCGTTTTTGGAACCCATCTTCATGGTAGATAGTAGATCTACGCCTGGAAAATGGACACGGGCAGTTGGTGGTAGGTAACCCTAGAAACTGTGTTTACAAGATTACCGGTAGAATCATCCCATTCGGCCATTCGGAAGAGGTAAATGCCCATCACTGTACTGCACAACAGGTCAAAAAGTATGGGGTCGGGCCGGGAGGTGGGTGTGCCTTTCCAACCAGAAAGAAAAGTTTGAGTGGCAGTAGCATTGAAAACACGAAAACTCATAGTCTTGGGTTCATTTGAGCACCTTCACTTCATTTGTGATTCTTATGCTTCACGCTGAACCTTCTGAACCCCCGCCCCGGGCCCCCCCCCGCATTTCGTGCACAATAGCTTTTTTTAGTTGCCGGCCATCCCGCCACCACCGCCACCCTCCCACCCACCCACAGCCACCCGGCCACCCTTCCACCCGGCCACCCCCACCCGTCTACCACCCTTCCACCCTCCACCACGGCCAACCCGGCCACCGCCACCCGCCCCCCTTCCACCCTTCCACGGCACCCGGCCACCCGCCACCCACCGACCACCCGACCACGGCCACCCGGCCACCCGGCCACGCGGCCACGCGGCCACGCGGCCACGGCCACGGCCACGGCCACGGCCACCCACCACGGCACACGACACGGCCACACCACACATGGCACATGGCCACACGGCCACACGGCCACACGGCCACACGGCCACACCCGGCCATCCGGCCACCCGCCAGCCGGCCACCTGTTTCCTGTGTTTTTGATGGAATTACTGTAATTGTTTTGAGCTTCTTAACTTTTTCGAACAACTTGCGACACGCTCCTGCATGGTGCCTGGTGCTATGCTCTTTTCTTTCCCAGGCAGCTTTGCAACATGCTCTTGATGCTATGCGCTGAACCTTTTCAAGCAACTTGCAACGCACTCTTCCTGCTACTCTTTGAACTTCTCAGGCGACTGGCAACACACTCTTGATCCCACACTTTCAACTTTCTCCTGCAACTTACAACACGCTCTTGGTGCTAACCCTTTCGGGCCCTCAATCCCAAATTTCTCAAGCAACTTGCAGGCTCTTGGTGCTACGCGCTTAACTATCTCAAGCAGCATGGCACACGCTCTTGATGCTACGCCCTCGATGTTCTCAAGCAACCACGCAACACGCTCTTGATGTTACTTCTCTCATGCGCTCAACCTTATGGTTGTGGTGGATTTTGACATGGAACACGTATAACCAGGTGTCACTGTTCTAAATCATGTTTGCAAGGAATTAACGTTCATTTTTGCTGCCAATAGCTATTTTACCCCCCAAAAAAAAAGAACGCAAGTGAATGCACCTCCGAGATCTTCACTTTCAGCTGAATTTCCACGGTAATGCTACTGGTAGTGATGATGATGATGATGATGGTGGTGGTGATGATGGTGATGTCGATGAGAGATAATAATTATTCAGATGTTTCATTGGCTCTGCAGGGCACACAGTGCCAAAATTCTTTTTAGGTTTTCAGGGCCCAAGCAGTTTGAGCATCCAACAGTCACAAGCAGGTGTCAACTACCGTGACTATCTGCCCTTTTAATTTCTATTGATGATATTTACAAGTTTTCTGTGATATGACATTCTGATCGTTTCTTGCCACTTGTTTAAGGTGCCTGGCATCTGAGAGGCTCGCGACTGTTGTCATATTTTGCCTTCTACTATGAAAATAACATTGTGTGTGGGGGGTGGGGTGGGGTGCAGGGGGTGGGGTGGTATAATAACGTCACATACACTTCCACACATATGTGATGCAACATATCTGTACGCTCTCTTGCATTTCATTCACATCCACACTTACGTCTGCTACGCTTCTGTAAACTCTTTGGCACTTCCACACACACGCGTCATGCTACGCTGTAGGTTCTTTTGCGCTTCCACACATGCGTCATGCTACGCTGTAGGTACTTTTGCACTTCTACACATGCGCCATGCTACGCTGTAGGTTCTTTTCCACGTCCACACATACGTCATGCTACGCTGTAGATTCTCTTGCACTTCCACACATACCTCATGCTACGCTGTAGGTGCTCTTGCACTTCCACACATGTGTCATGCTACGCTGTAGGTACTCTTGCACTTCCACACATACCTCATGCTACGCTGTAGGTGCTCTTGCACTTCCACACATGTGTCATGTTACGCTGTAGGTCCTCTTGCACTTCCGCACATGTGTCATGCTACTACGCTGCTGTAGATTCTCTTGCGCTTCCACACATACCTCATGCTACGCTATAGGTACTCTTGCACTTCCACACAGGTGTCATGTTACGCTGCTGGAGGCTCTCTTGCGCTTCCACACATACGTCATGCTACGTTGTAGGTTCTCTCTCACATCTACACATGCGTCATGCTACGCTGTAGGTTCTTTTCCACTTCCACACGTCATGCTACGCTGTAGGTAGTCTTGCACTTCCATACATGTGTCATGCTACGCTGCTGTAGATTCTCTTGCACTTCCACACATACCTCATGCTACGCTGTAGGTAGTCTTGCACCATACATGTGTCATGCTACGCTGCTGTAGATTCTCTTGCACTTCCACACATGTGTAATGCTACTACGCTGCTGTAGATTCTTTTGCACTTCCACACATACCTCATGCTACGCTGTAGGTACTCTTGCACTTCCACACATACCTCATGCTACGCTGTAGGTACTCTTGCACTTCCACACATGTGTCATGCTACGCTGTGGGTACTCTTGCGCTTCTACACATGCGTCATGCTACGCTGCTGTAGGTTTTTTTGTACTTCCACACATGTGTCAGGCTACGCTGTAGGTACTCTTGCACTTCTACACATGCGTCATGCTACGCTGTAGGTTCTGTTGCACTTCCACACATACGTCATGCTACGCTGTAGGTACTCTTGCACTTCCACACATACGTCATGCTACGCTGTAGGTACTCTTGCACTTCTACACATGCGTCATTCTACGCTGCTGTATGTTCTCACCGTATGATGATGATGGTGGTGATGATGATGATGATGATGTTCATATTGCTGATGATACTAAAGTTTCGTTTTTGAGCCTTTTCAATTCCCCCCTAGAAAATGTTTGAAAAGTGACGACAATCGCGGGCCTCTCAGATGCCCGGCACCTTGTTTAACAAGTTGTTTCCTATTCCATGATGCATCTTGTGTCAAGTGCTTGTCTTCGCCGTCATTTGCTGGTGTACACCTTTTGTTCACTTCATCCATCTCCTCCTCCCGTGAAAGAAATGCTACTGCTGCTGGCTTCCTGTGGCTATCCATGTGATAATGAAGGCGATTGTCAAATAGAGCTTTGACAAAAGAGGCAAGAACTGAACTGCTGAACTGCATGGAGTGATCGTGTTGTCTTAAAGGGGAATGAGTTTATACATGTGGGTAGGAATTAGCACACAAATCGATGTTTCTGGTTGAGACATATATGGTAAATTTGTTCAAGCAATCTTGCGCCACATACGGGACAGCAAAACGCTGCTTGATATTGTTTGAAATCAGCAGTAAGCAAATTACAATCATCTTCTAAAAACGCTCCTCCCCCCCACCGCCACCCACCCACAAATCCCGGCCAACCGGCCATCCGGCCACGGCCACGGCCACCCGGCCACACCCGCCCACCCGCCCACCTGCCCACCCAGCCAGGCGGCCATCCGGCCACCCGGCCATCCGGCCATCCGGCCACGGGCCCGGCCATCCGGCCACCCGGCCATCCGCCCCATCGCCTCCCCCGCCACGCCACACCCTTCCACCCTGCCACTTCCCACCCTCCACTTCCACCCGTGTCACGCCTTGACCCCCCCACTTCAACCCTGCCCCCACTCCAAGCCCTGCCACACAACTTCTCTACCTCCCCACTCCAACCTGCGGCGCCACGGCCACCCTCCCCACTTCCCGCTTCCTCACTTCCACGCCTTCCACCCTTCCACCCTTCCAGCCCTCCCACACTTCCACCCTTCCTACACTTCCACCTTTCACACTTCCACCCTCCACTCGTGTCCACACACGCCGGCCCCAAAACTTCCACCTCTTCGCACCCTTCCCCCAAACAAACGACGGCCACCCGCCACATAGTCAACGTCCACCCTGCCCCCGGCCCCACTCCCCAAATGTCTATCCACCCTTCCACACGCCAGCCCTGCACACTTCCCTCCTGCCCACAGACTTCCATCGACTACCCCTGCCACAGCCTCCACCCGGCCACGGCCACCCGCGTGGCCGCCCGGCCACGGCCACCCGGCCACGGCCACGGCCATGCACGAAAAAAATCTATCCTCCATTTCGTGAGACTCCTGGGGAAGGCTGAAGAAATAGATGAAAAACATCTATTTCATTGATGGTAAAAACCCATTGCATTTCTGGTGCAATGGTCTCTTCTCTATGGGTTAGTTCACCCTGGTACCCTTGTGCTCACACCAAAACTGTGCAGGGATTGATGGATCTATGAACCGTTCATCCCCAAAATGATGGAAAACTCTAGGCCCACCAAGTAACCATCCATATTTCTCATAATCCGTATACCACTATTTTTCTTGATGAAATCCCATGATACCACCAGGTTTCTCAAATAAATTCATCATATAAATCACCAATAATAGTAAAAATACATAATTATATATATATATATATACATATATATATATTAGTAATTAGACCAATCATCCATGCTATAACTGGAGATATCAGGATTATTGGTCTATTATAGCTTATAAAAAAGCTATGGTTTTTATATGTTATAACCAATAGATCCCGTAGCTCTCCAGTGATCTTCGGTCACCTTCCAGTAGTCCACTCCATTCTCCGTGCCGTAGCCCACCACCAGCACGCCGTGATCCAACTTGGTACCGCACTCCTGGCGCGACCCGGTGCGGGTGCTGCCCCAGATCCTTCAGAACCAAGCCATCGATTTTTAAAGACCTAGGGATTGATGGAAAAAAATGGAGATGATGTATCATTGGCTTGGTTTAAGGGAAAATCTACAGGAAACCATGGTTTTTACCAGTAAATTTTCCTTTAAACCAACCCAGTGAATGTATGAAATTCTATGCAGATGTAAAATTTTGATGACTCTATTCACAACCATATCTGATAGGAGATAGTAGGGTGAAAAAATATGGGAATCATAGGCGGAATAAAAGTCTTGGCACTATTGTTCATGATAAGGCATAGTGGATTACCCCCCAATTAAGAGGTATACTATGGGGACTGAAGCAACAAAAAATGGGAAATTGTGTGAAAATGTTGATTGTGTAAGTTTATTTATGACCATATCTCGGGAATGTATATATATATATATATGACATTGATATTCAGGGAGGACATTTAATCAACAATAATGTTGGTATGATAGCATTTTATGGGCGTTTTAACCATGGGATATGGTAGTGTAACTCACATTGCTGGAGTCCATCCAAATCCTAACCCAAAATTGATGGGGTTTTGCATCGTAGCATCGAAGCATCGAATAAGATGAATGGTGTTCCAACTATATAATTGGTGAATATCATGAGTAATTACTACCCAAGCACTAATTAGAAGATATTTGTCATAGCCGACTTTTAGCATTACTGGTTGGTTGGTGGTCCCGCAATTTCTGATGCTGGTTGGCTACCAGCAACTGATCACCCCCAAATGATCAACAGCTGAGGGGTTTTTATTAAAATCCAGCTTTGACAAAAGCCAAAAAGATGGTTTCAGTATCTTTTTTACCACTCGTTTTTAGTAGAACATTGGTTTCTTGACTATCTTTTTTGGGGGGTTGGTACCATCTTGACCAATCATCGCTCGCGGCTCCTGAGTCAGGATGCCACCCTTGTAGAGCTGGAATGCCATTTGGTCAGCTTCAATAGCCACAGACACCTAGCTGAAGCTTCAGCCGAAGGCTCCGAAGCTTAGGGCAATTGTAAGTTTTTCATCGCAACGTACTACTACTAAACCATGGCATTTGTTGTGCATATCCAATATGTTGACTGTTTGGGGTACCTATGAAGTCAAGCCAAGTCAAGCCTTTGGTCGACGGCCCATCTTTTCTAGTTGGCTGTGAAGCCTACCAGAAACCATTGGATGATCCCGCTGATTTTCAATAGATTTCCGAAACCCACAGCCATGCCTATTGTGCATGGGACTACAGTGACACAGCAGATCGCTGTGTCCCCAATGGGAAAGTCATTTTTCACCGATTCATGGGTCCCTTCACCAAGAAAAGCATCCCCATTGCCCCCATATCCCACAAACGGGCCCCAAGACCAAAAAGGGAAACAGCCGCACTCCCATGGTTGATCCATTCTTTATCCCTCATCATATCCATGTCATATGTCATTTTATAGCTCATTCCATATGCCAATTGTATGTATGTATATATATATGTATGTATGTATGTATGTATGTCTGTATGTCTGTATGTCTGTATGTCTGTATGTCTGTATGTCTGTATGTCTGTATGTCTGTATGTATGTATCTATGTATCTATGTATCTATGTATCTATGTATGTATGTATGTATGTATGAATGTATGTATGTATGTATGTATGTATGTATGTATGTATGTATAATATATACATATATATGTACATATATAAATATATATATATATATTTATTTATGTATTATATTTATATATATGTGTAGTAATTATATATATATACACAGTATATAGAGATTCCAATTCTATATCCCCCATCATATCCCATGTCTTTTGAACATGGAAAAAACATCGAAAAAAACACTTCCAATTGGGTAGCCAGGTCACCGGTTGCTGGGACACGGCCTGCATCAAAGCATCCATGTCCTGGCGGAATCCGTGGCGGAATCCGACAGATCCAGGCAGTGAAGCATGAAAAATTGGAAAAAACAAGCCTCAAGCAGCAAAAAAACTTGGAAAAACTGGGAAAAACTTGGAAAAAACATGGAAAAACTGGGAAAAACTTGGAAAAACTGGGAAAAACTGGAAAAACTGGGAAAAACTTGGAAAAACTTGGAAAAATGGTGATGATTTCACGGCTTCCGTAGAAACATAGTGGATTCAACCAGAAACATGTGATGTAATGGTTCACCACCAAATTGACCGCCAACGGCGCATGAGGATTGAGCCAAAAAAATCAGAGGAATTGATCATGAATCGTGAAAAAATGTATATCATTTGAATATGTTTTTCATGTATACCACCTATATGCTCATGGATATTAAGGGGTAATCAAGCATCAAATATGGGTGGTTACCATGCAAAACTAGTATAAAATTGATAAACCATGGTTTGTCTGCAAATTGCATACCCCAAAATCTCATGTTTGAACATATTTTTACACATGAAGAAAATCCGTATCATTGTTGGTAATGTATCCCATTTTAGCCCACTATATATATATACACCCATTGTATATCCGTAAAGTGGTTATACCATCCTCCTCAATATCCCTGCACATATCCCCCACATCATATGTGCTTAATTTCTTCAATGATTTACTAATATTGCTGGTCAATTACTGCTTCTTGTTCCTCAAATATGACAGCTGTCATGTTTTACCCCCAGATCCCCCAGATCCTCGAAAAAGTACAGATCAGATCCCAGCCATTTTTGGTGATCAGGATCCCAGCCAGAAAAATGGGATATGTGGCTTGAAAAATGGTGGTATAATCCACTCATGGGATATTAATGGGATATTAATGGGATATTATCCCAGATCCCAGCATTTTTCTTATCCATTCATGGGATTTCATGGGATAATAGTGGCATTTTTTGACGGTTTTTCTTCGTGCCTTGGTCCGCCATATCAACCCAGCCGCCGTTTTTTCGCCTTGGCGGAGACATCCTTGAAACCCGTGATGGATCCCTGAGGCACCACCTTGGTGCAGTTGGTCTGGTGGCAGGTGCCCTGCGCGGCCAGGTACCTTGGCGCCGAAAAAAAACATCGAACCATCGAACCACGATCGGAAGATCTTAAAACTGTGATTGTTGATGGCAGATATATCATGATATATACAACTTGGGATATTGAATCCACAATCATCTGTAATATATATATATACGTTACGTGTATATATATATATATATATACGTATATATATATATATACATATGTGTGTGTGGATGGACTTGGAGGTTTAGTGAAGAATAAAAGGACCGGATAACCCCACATGTCAAGCCTTTATGTATGTAAGATTTTAATGTGAACTTCGGGGAGGTGTGAGAATCTCGGTGTGAGAAGTGGACTTGTGATGTCAGGTGTGAGAAGTGGAGCTGTGATGAGTTCTGATGTGATAAGTGAGGTGTGAGAAGTGGTGTGAGAAGTGGAGCTGTGATGGGATAAGTTGTGATAAGTTGTGATGAGAAGTTGTGATGTGATAAGTGAGCTGTGAGAAGTGAGCTGTGAGAAGTGAGGTGTGAGAATTGGAACTGTGATGAGTTGGGATGTGATAAGTTGTGATGAGCAATGGAGCTGTGATGAGTGAGGTGTGAGAAGTGGAGCTGTGATGAGTTGGGATGTGATAAGTTGTGATGAGTTGTGATGAGAAGTGGACCTGTGAGAAGTGGAGCTGTGATGGGTTGTGATGAGCAGTGGAGCTGTGATGAGGTGTGAGAAGTGGAGCTGTGATGAGTTGGTATGTGATAAGTTGTGATGAGTTGTGATGAGAAGTTGTGATGTGGTAAGTGGATCTGTGATGAGTGGTGATGATAAGTCTACGGCGGCGGAGGCGGGAACAGGAGCGGCGGGATCCAAGTGAAAAACAAGAGCCCGGCACATGATACATGCAGCACACGAGCTCTTTTTCAAGAGAGGCCGCGCAAGTTCAAGCGTCATCATTCCGTGCAGTGTAGGGTACCTGGCACAGGTGATGAGGTAAAAGAATTATGAAATGAAATGATGAGTCTATGTGACTGAAAGTAGCGGAGTGAACACGCGTGCCGCAGCTCCTCCAGGAGGCTCTGTGGACTGCGCCCGCGCGAAGCAGCCAGGAAGCTCCCTCTACTGCGCCTTTCAGGAGGCTCTGTGTACATGCGCCTGCCAGGTGAAGCCAGCCGCGGCCCACCGGCGCCCACGCGCGCTGCAGCTCCTTCAGGAGGCTCTGTGTACTGCGCCTGCCACACAAAAGCCAGCCGCGGCCCAGCGGCGCCCACGCGCGCCGCAGCTTCTCCAGGAGGCTCTGTGTACTGCGCCTGCCACACGAAAGGCAGCCAGGAAGCTCTCTGTACTGCGCCTGCCACGTGAAGCCAGCCGCGGCCCAGCGGCGCCCACGCGCGCCGCAGCTCCTTCAGGAGGCTCTGTGTACTGCGCCTGCCACGCGAAAGGCAGCCAGGAAGCTCTCTGCTGCGCCTGCCACGTGAAGCCAGCCGCGGCCCAGCGGCGCCCACGCGCGCCGCAGCTCCTTCAGGAGGCTCTGTGTACTGCGCCTGCCACGCGAAAGGCAGCCAGGAAGCTCTCTGCTGCGCATGAGTGACTGAGTGACTGGTGACTGAGTGTGTGATGATGACTGACTACTTACTACTGACTGAGTGACTGAGTGTGTGAGTGAGTGACTGACTGACTGACTTACTGACTGACTGAGTGAGTGAGTGAGTGAGTGAGAAGTGTGAGTGAGTCAGTGAATGAGTGTTGAGTGAGTGAACAGGAGGCGGCGGAGGGCGAGGCGGCGGCGGAGGCGGCGGAAGCCCCGGCGGGATGCAAGATACAAATCATATACCCATAGAAATAGATGGTTTACCCATGAAAAATTGTGATTTTCCATGGCGGACTGTAACAAATAACCCAGATGGTAAAGGATTTGTTCTTTCAAACATCATTGCCCAACATAAAGCATGATTTTGGTTACCCTCTGGTAATTTAACATAGCTATTGAAAATGACCATTGATAGTGGATTTGCCCATTAAAAATGGTGGTTTTCCATAGTTATGTTAGTTGACCAGAGGGTAAGAGCTGGGTACCCCAGCTCGAATGATGCTTGATAAGTTGGATCCCAGGAGCGGGTAGCTGTCCTCACTGCACACGTCGTGCTTCTCGAGGTAGGAGAACCTCGAGAAACCCAACAGGTCGTTGGCGACCCAACAGCTTTTTTTTGGTGGCTTCCAAAGCAGATTCAGTACATTTGGGGAGTCCATATCTCATCTATTCTCATCTCATGTCTGCCGTATTTACTTCGGGTATGAGATAGAATGCAAACACAATGCACCTGCTGGTTCTTCTGTTGGGTGAGATTCACAGATGCTGCTGTGATTTAAAATCATCCCCAATCACAAATATAAATAAACACATCATGTATATATATATATGTGTGTATCATATAATACTGTGAATGAAAGAAATTCTGCACCAGTTGGTAGCTGGTTTATTCGGTTACAACCTCATGATTTACAGAGTCTCATAGAAAACATTAGTTAAATATGTATATATATAATATCATCATATGATACATATCTCATATAACTTTCTCAGTTATCCCAATGTCCCCTAGATATCATGCATAGATATAATATGATATGTATATAATATCCATTCATATCCCCCATCTCATATCATACATAAGTATTTAAGTAGTTGATATCAATATTACATAGAATATCCCCGTTTCACAATAATACTAT